TATTTTTCTACTCCGGATTGCTGATTCTTCCTCTATGTTAGAGACCTGTGCATGGTGCTATAGCCGGTGACCCAGGCGAGTGCCCGAGCTGCAGGGCGGCACGAAAGCCCTGCGCTCCGTGCGGCAGCGAGCAAGTGGCTGAGGTTACCGCAGGAGCCATACGCCGCTCCTCCGCTTGAGACCCCCCCATCCATCACCGGTGCTGCCCCGGGGGGGGGCTTCCCAGCACCCCCTGCCCTCCACGGGATGGCAGTGGGGCAGCTCAGACCCATGGCGAGGTGGGGTGGGGGGGGGGTTGCTATGGGATGCTGCTGCATCCTTGTCCTCTCACCACGCTCATCCTGGGGTCTTGCCTGAGTCACGCTGGCGGTGGGGGGGTGGCCAGTGAGGGGCAGGTTTAGGTCCAAAGCGCGGCTGGAGACGGGAGCAGGGGACGGGGAGCATCTGCTTGGAGTCCCTTAGGAAGGTGGGGACAGGGCTGGGGGCTCCCAGATGCCGGTGGCCCATGGGGCGGGCAGGGGGCTGCCGGCGGGTGCTGGTGTCTCTCAGTGGGTGGAAAAATCCTCGAGTTCGTGGGTTTTCTGTTTCCTTTCCTTTTCTTTTTGAGGTTTGTTGGGTTTTTTTTTTTTTCCTTGTCTGAGTAAATCACTGCTCATTCCATGGGTGTTTTTGTAGAGCATAAATAGAAGTGCAGATTCCGGTAGCTGCTTGTACTTTGTTCGTGCATTTGCTGGGCATAAAAAGGGGGGGGGGGGGGAAGACAAAAAAAAGACAAAAAAAAAGACACTTTTCAGGACTTTTTAAGTGCTCCAAATGGCAAAGGGGCAGTGGGGACCCCTGAGGAGGCACGGGCAGGCAGTGCCAGCAGCCTCACAAAGGCCTTGGTTTTGGATGTAACCACGTGCCCAAATCTGCCTGACGTTCTCTATAGCGTGTGGCGAAGCTGGTGCCAAAAGAAAGGAGGGAGACTGCGAAGAGGAAGGGAGAAGAGGAAACACCGCTCCTGTTTAATTTGCCTTGTCCTCCCCTGCCTGCCTCCGGGACCATGCCAGTGATGGGAGATGCCTGGCACCCGCATGGCACCGGCTGACGGAGCCTGGAGCCCATTCCCCTTCCTCCGAGTGCTTAAAAAGTCAACTTTAACAGAGTCAAAGTAATGCGTTTCCTTCATTGAACAGAAGCCACGTGTCTGCTCCTTTGCGCTCTTCGTTTCTTCTCTCTGGCCTATTATAATTAGTATTATTATTTGCCAAACTCTGATCTTGTTGCCAAACACAAATCAAGGTTTGTAAAGACTGTACTTAGGAAGTAATCGGTGTCTGTAACGTAGGCTCCTCATAACGTCTGCAGTTTGGGATCTCTTTGATTTTTATTTCTGGTGTGCCATAGCCCAATTCCTTGCACAGTGTTTAATATTTTGTGGACTTGTTGTTAAGAAGTGAAGTTGAGAATACAATAAAAAGGCTCACTTTTCATTTTGCCAGATCTCCTGCCCAGCCTGTGCTGCATCCCGCATCCCTCATCCTGCATCCCTCATCCTGCATCCCGCATCCTGCATCCCGCATCCCGCATCCCGCCCAGCCTGTCCTGCATCAACCTGGCGTGGTTGCTGCTCACGTCCCCATAGTGCTGCCAGCCTGGGGGCACAGCAGGAGCTTTCTCCAGAGCTGGGATCAGTGAAGACCTTCCCACCCCTTTCCTCGGGGTGTCTCAGCCATCTCCTCCTGGCCGAGGACACCTTGCTCGTCCCAGCCGGGTGGGATGGGGCTGAGCAGCATCCCCACCACCCCACTGGGTGTCACAGCCTTGCAGGCTGAGCTGGTGCAGCCCCTTTGGAGCCCCCTTCTCCCACACACCCCATCAGGGGGCTGCTCCCACCAGCCTGATGCTCCCCATCTGCCCCAGCAGCATCGGAGCTGACGTTTATGGGGCCCTCCTGTCCGTGGAGCCGCAGCAAAACCAAAACCAGGTGGAAAGGAGAAGAAAAGGAAGGGGCCTCTGCCTGCCCTGGCTGCAGCCCCGTCTCTGCCCTCAGCTTCCCAGCAGCTCCCATCGCAAAGCAGCACCAGGGTCCGGTGCTGGAGCTGGCTGGCGGCAGCGTTGTGCCACGGGGATGGCTTTCCTGGAAGGCTTTGGCCGTGCAGTAACGCGTGCTGCTGCCATGGGCAGGCTGGAGCCACACTTCCCCTGCGTGCCTGGAATAGTTGGGATGTTTCAGTGTCTGACCCGAAGGGCTGAGCTGGGGCGGGCAGCAGCAGCTTCGGGCTGAGCCGTGCTCCTTGGGCTGTGTCACCCTGCGCAGGGGATGCCCGACTGCAGGGCCGGCTCTCGGAGGGGGGGGGACATGGGACCGGTGCTGATCTTAATGGGAGGCACAGGGATGTCCGTGCCCTGCAGAGCCCGGGGGGATGCAGGGGAGCAGAGGGGATGCGATTCCCAGCAGCATCTCGGGGAGATGCGGCCTTGCTGGGGTTGTTCTCCCCCCCCAGCCAGAGGTTCTGTGTCAGATCCCTGCACCCCCCCCATGTCACGGATCCCCAAACTCAAACACAGGGGCACGCATCGGGGATGCTGCTGGAACCCCACTGCAAAGCGAACCCGAGCCTGGCAGCACATGAAAGGCCCCTGGACCCTCCTGCAGCACGGAGCTGGGGCAAGGGCTATAAATAACACCCTCACACACACCCCCCCCGGGCTGTTTTTAGCTTCTCCACAGCTATAATTAACCCTCCTTTGGAGCCAGGGCTGGGGATGCTGCTGGCACCATGGGCCAGGGCTGCAGGGACATGGCCGGGGTGGCCCTGGGGACAGTGGCGCGTGTCCCACCGGGTCTGGGCATAGCAGCTTCGGGGTGCACTGGGGTGGTTGCATCACTGCAGCCGGGGCATGGCCCTGGGTGGCCCCCAGTATCCCTGGAGCCCCTGCCCCAGCCACAGGGATGCAGGAGCTCGGCCCGCACCCGGCAGCCCAGGGGCTCTGCAGTGTCTCTGGGTGGATGCAGGGGCGGATGGGGACAGAGCCTGGGGACGGGGCCAGCCCGGCTGCCTTCTGCCAGCAGCCACCCAGACCAGACTCATAAATCAGAGGCTGTGGCCTCCGTGTGTGCTGGGCTCAGAGCAGGATCCGGCCCGGCCCTGTCTGGCTGCAGCCACCCCAGAGCCAGGAAGGGGCTCAGTTTGCCCCCCCCCCCCCCCCCCCCATCCAGAACAGCACCAACCCTGAGCCTCCCCTTGCATGCACGTCCCCTCCATGCATGGATGTGCAAGGTCCTGGTGACCCTAGGGAATGTGGTTGCATGTGTGGGCCTCACCCCGGTCACTGGGACCCCTGCACACCCCCTGCACCCACATCATGGATCCAACCCCCCCCATTGGCATCAACCCCAGCCCTGCTTGGGCGAGGGTCAGGGATTTCCTATGGAAAACGGTGGCGTTTGCCAGGATGGAAGGGATGGGGGAGCCCCGGATCACCCAGGGTCTCGTTGCTGCCAGGTGCTGATGCTGCTGGCGTCGGGCTGGCCCTGCCCGGCTCCGCCGCGCTGGGGAGAGGTTTTGTGGCCTCACCCTGCGGTGATGCTGGAGGGGGGGGGGGGAGGTCACAGTATTGGGGTCCCCTCCCTTACCGGCAGAGCCGAGCCAGCCCCGGAGCTCCATTCCCAGCCCGGAGCCCCCCTCACGGTGCTGCGGTGCAGGGGCAGGGTCCGGGCTGGATCAGGGCCCCCCCCCGGGTTGGAAAGCGCAGCTCAGGATCCCCGGCGCCCCCGCACTGAGTCAGACCCGACGGGGACACCGGGGCGAGGGGGGGGCTGCAAGGAGCGAGCTGCGGCTACGCAGGGAGGGGGTCCCACTGCCCGTGGGGTCCCATTGATCCCCCTATTGCCGGGGGTGGGGGGGGGAAGCGTTGTCTCTGGGGTCCGTATGGGGCGGATCGGGGTCTGCGTGCCTGGGGGGGGTCCCCTCCCGCCTGTATCAAGCCCCTGCGGTGCTGCCGTTGTAGGGTCCGGGTCAGGGCCGCCGTCCCGTCCCCCCCTCCCATCCCCTTTCCGGAGCCAGATTTGGGCTCCCACGAGAGCGGCTCCGCTCCTCTGCGGATGGGGCACGGGGGGATCCCGCAGCCGGGTTGGGTGAGGGGGGGGGGGGGTCGGGGGCTGTGACTCACCCCATGCACCAGCAGCTCCCCGGGGGTGCCACAGCCCTGGCACGGACACAGGCACCGGGAGGATGCATTGCCCTGGGGATGCCTGCACCAGGGCGGGGGGGGGGGTCCCATGGCCAGCGCCCGCTGCAGTGCCCCAGGGGGCAGGAGGCACTTGCCCTGTGCTCAGCTTCTCACAGAGCTCAGGGGCTGCCCGTGGGGCTGGTTCTCATGCACAGACCCAGATGCTGTCGCTTATAGGAAGAGCCTCAGGCCCCCATCAGGGCCTCCCCCGGCACACGCTGCATTGTGCGTGCAGAACCCCCCTCCCCATGGACCCAGCTCCAAGCAACGCAGACAGCCCTGGCTTCAGATATTTTATTGCAAATAACTCGGGGTTTTTGTCTTAAATCAGTATAAGAATAAACTCTGGAATAGAATCGACTCCGGGTCTCCAAGTGGTTTAGAGTGCAAAAAGACTCGACACGGATTCCAGCTCCATCGGTACAGACAATAACCGAGCCCTTGGAGAAAGCAGCTCCCCTGCAGTCCTCACCTCTGTCCACTCACAGCTGCCAAACAGAGATCATCGCACGCTCTCCATCTCCTGGCCCGGGGCTCCTCAGCACAGTCCCCCAGCTCCTTGCAGCCAAGCACAACAACTCCTTGGCATGGATGAGCTCCGGCGCGCTCCGGCCAGCGTCCGACCCGGCTGCCGGCACAGCAGGGCTCCGACTGCCTCCATCCCGTGCCCACCGGTGCCGCTCTGCTCCTTCCTCCGCTCCGGGTATAAATGAAAACGAAATCGGTGGCTGTTTGCGTTTGGGGTTATTTTGTGTGGGTTTGGTTGGTTGTAAACTGGCCGTTCCGCCTTTCCTTTTCCTGCCGTTTTACTGTTTTCCCCCCTCCTTTTTCAGGTACAGAGCCGGGCATGGGCCGGGGCCGGCTCAGCGCTCCTGCAGGCACACAAACGGCACCCACTGGTTCCTGTCGCGGCTCTCGGTGCAGTATTTGGCCACCTCCGCCAACCCTTGGCTCTTCCACGCGTCCGTGTGCGGGTTCTGAGGAGCAGAAACACGGAGTCAGCGCCGCCGTCACCCTCACACACAGCCCCCCAAGTCCCCCTCCCACCCTGGGCCTCGCTGCGTGGCCGTGCCGTGCATCACCGCCCCACTCACCGTGACTAAGAGGCAGTGGAGATCACGGGGCTCGGAGCCCGGCTCAGGCTCCCCCAGGATGGCGGCCAGGCGCTGCATGCCCAGGACGCGCAGGATGTGGATGTCGTTGTCGCAGCAGAAGGCCTGGATGAGGGTGAAATGGATTTGCAGGGCGATGTCACCTTCGTCCTCCTCGTCAGTGGCCAGCACGCACAGCACCACGCTGTCAGGGTCCCTGTGGGCACGCGGGGCATTAGAGGGGCAACCAGCTCCGGATGGGGCTGTGATTTCCCCCCCCCACACCCGTGGGTCACCCCCCATCACCTGCAGGGAAGGAACCTGCTGCTGGGGGGGCTCCCCCCCGTGCTGCACCCCCTCGGAAAGCCCCCCCACACACCCACCGGTACTCACACATTCATGAGCTTGGCCGACTCGTAGACACCCACTGTGAGCCGGTCCTGATGCTGCGCTGCCACCAGCACCCGCTCCACGGCCTCGCTCACCGCCTGCATCCTGCGCGGGGAAGGGGAGACGAGACCCGGTGAGCAACAGCGGCAGCGACAACGAACCCCCCCCAGCCCCAGCCCCAGCCCCGCACCGCGGGTCCCGCACGTACCTGCTGCTGTCGCAAGGCACCAGCTCCTCCAGAGTCATGGCGCGATCGTGACGCGAGCCCGTGCGGGGAAGGCAAATCCCGACCGCGGTAAATCCCAGCGCGCTCCCGCGATGCTCCCCCGGTCCCGTCCCGGTCCCGTCCCGCTCCCTCCCGCACCCCGACCCCAACGCGCCGCAACCCAACCCCGGCGCTGCCTTTTATACCCTTCCGCAGCGCGCGGTGGGGGGGCGGCCCCCGCTTCGCCATTGGCTCCCTCCGCAGACGGTGCGGCGGGGATTGGACACCGAGGGCTGGTCCCACGTGGGGGGTTGAGGAGGGGTGCGGGGGAACCCCCGCCCCGGAAGCGTCCGCGGGGTTTGCGGGGAGCGGGGGCCTGAACCGGGGGGGGGGGGGTCCGGGCACGGAGGGGGGGGGGGTGTGAAGCCGGGGGACGCGGGGACGCGCGCCGGGGCTGGAGTGGGGACCGCATTGTGGCGCCCCCTGGCGGGCTGCTTAAAGCAGCGCTGGGGCTTGAATGTAATGGGATGAAAGCAATTAATGGTTAACGGTGATGAAGGAAATAAGGGAGAAATGCGAGATATTTTAATAGATATTTTAAGATCTAAGAAGCATTAATGAAATAAGGAAGAAATGTGAGATATTTTAATAGATATTTTAATATCTAAAAAGCATTAATGAAATAAGGAAGAAATGTGAGATATTTTAATAGATATTTTAATAGCTAAGAAGTATTAATGAAATAAGGAAGAAATGTGAGATATTTTAATGTATATTTTAATATCTAAGAAGTATTAATATGAAATAAGGAAGAAATGTGAGCTATTTTAATGTATATTTTAATATCTAAGAAGTATTAATGAAATAAGGAAGAAATGTGAAATATTTTAATGTATATTTTAATAGCTAAGAAGTATTAATGAAATAAGGAAGAAATATGAGATATTTTAATGTATATTTTAATATCTAAGAAGTATTAATGAAATAAGGAAGAAATATGAGATATTTTAATATATAGTTTAATATCTAAGAAGTATTAATGAAATAAGGAAGAGTAAAGGGAGTAAAAGCAGGCATAGAAAGACAAGCATCGATTCTGAGGGAAATAAAGGGAAAAGAGCAAAGTGACACAGAGGTGCAGCAAGATTAAAAGCAGAGGCACTGAGATAACACCAGGTATTGTTAAAAGGCGGTGAGCTAAAGACAGCGAACAGGATGAAAGCAGAACACGAAAAGCAAGGGTGATTAAAGCAATAATGAGCGATGGTGCATTGGAATGGAGACATACAATGAACATTTTGAAAGCGACAGCATCGCGGGGTGTGTGTGTGTGTGATTTAAAATACAGACGGCAAAGGAGCTAAAACTAGGGATAGTTTTAGGGAATATATAGGGAAGCCAAATGATTAAGAGAGGAAAGAACTGAAAGGCAGAAAGCCAAACAAAGCTCAGACATGGACAGAGGAGGGAATGACCGTTCTTTAATGGCCGGCTCTGCTCGGACTCTGGAGCCTGTCATTAAACGCCTCTGGCTTCTGCAGAAGGACGAGCTGCGCAGCCCGGGCAACGAAGGGAAGGGGCGCGGGAGCGGTGCTGGGACAGGGCCCGGCCGGAGCGGTACCGGGAGCGGGGACAAGGGCGGTGATCCCGCAGCGGCAGAGCCGGGAGCGCCGGCACCGCGGGGGGCGGGCACCCAGGGCACCGGGGCGCGGCGCTGCCGGAAGACCGAGTTCTTTCCCGGGGCATGCCGGGAGATGTAGTCCCTCGGCGACAGGACTGCGGTCGGCCATGTTGTTTCCCGAGGCATGTCGGGAGTTGTAGTCCCTCGGAAAGCCAGTTCCTGTCGGCCATGCTGTTTCCAGAGGCATGCCGGGAGTTGTAGTCCCTCGACAAGTTGGTTTCGGTCGGCCATGTTGTTTCCCGAGGCATGCCGGGAGCTGTAGTCCCTCGGCGCTCAGACTGCCGGGGGGGGGGTGGGGGTGGGGGGGGGTGGGGGGGGGGGCAACGTTTTTTCCCCGAGGCATGCCGGGAGTTGTAGTCCGTCGGGAAGCCCGTTCCGGTCCGCCATGTTGTTTCCCGAGGCATGCCGGGAGTTGTAGTCCCTCGGAAAGCCAGTTCCGGTCGGCCATGTTGTTTCCCGAGGTATGCCGGGAGCTGTAGTCCCTCGGCACCCAGATGCCGGTCAGCCATGTTGTTTCCCGAGGCATGCTGGGAGCTGTAGTCCCTCGACGCTCACATTCCATCCCTTGCTAGGTTTAAAGCTCCCACCAGATTCGGAGTTTTGAGAAGAAAACCGATCAAATGTAGAATTTTTGGTGTGAATCTGGTCAGATTTAGAATTTCGAGTGTGGACCCGGCCAGCCCTTCAGGTGTGATCGGGGGAATGTCCATGAATGAGCCCGTGTGGGTCCCGTATCCCAGGTCAGCTCTGCTGGCCTCGCCTCCCGGCTGTGGCAGCAGGGGCCGGACCCGCTGCGTGCGGTGGTCGCGGATGCCCACATGGCAGAACCCCACGGGCAGTGGTGTTGACCCCACCGCTACAAACACCCCTTCCATTGCAGGATTGGAAGCTGGTGTCTTTGAGACGGGAAAAAGAAAAGAGCAATTTAGCCTTTATCGTTTGGTCGATGAGAAGCTGAACATGAGCCAGCTGCAGTGAGCATTCGCAGCCCAGGATCAACCGTATCCTGGGCTGCATCCAAAGGAGCGTGACCAGCAGGTCCAAGGAGGTGATCCTGCCCCTCTGCTCTGCTCTTGTGAGACCTCACCTGGAGCATTGTGTGCAGTTCTGGTGTCCTCAACATAAAAAGGACATGGAAGTGCTGGAACAAGTGCAGAGGAGGCCATGAGGATGCTCACGGACTGGAGCACCTCCTGTATGGAGCCAGGCTGAGAACATTGGGGCTGTTCAGCCTGGAGAAGAGAAGCTGCGTGGAGACCTCAGAGCAGTTTCCAGTATCTGAAGGGGGGCTATAGGGATGCTGGGGAGGGACTCTTCATTAGGGACTGTAGTGACAGGACAAGGGGTAACGGGTTCAAAGTTAAACAGGGGAAGTTTAGATCGGATATAAGGAAGAAGTTCTTTCCTGTGAGGGTGGTGAGGCACTGGAATGGGTTGCCCAGGGAGCTTGTGAATGCTCCGTCCCTTGCTGTGTTCAAGGCCAGGTTGGACAGAGCCTTGGGTGCCATGGTTTAGTGTGAGATGCCCTGCCCATGGCAGGGGGTTGGAACTGGATGATCTTAAGGTCCTTTCCAACCCTAACTATTCTATGATTCTATGATTCTATGAATTATTCTGGCCAATGATGTTTGTGACAAATGTGTATTTTGAAGAGGTCACTGTATTAAAGCAGTGTCTTGGGTTCAGCAGTAGCAGTCATTTTTCTCCTTCTTAGTAGCTGGTGCAGAAGAGAGAGCAAGCGTGGCTGACTGGGTTTAAACAAATGCGGGGCACGAAGGGTTGAGATAACGCCAGATCTGACCAGAGTGTGTCTAACCGTATTTGTGATACGCATTCATTGTTTTGGATTAAGGGTCACTCGTCACAGTGCTGACTTATTGGCTCTCAAAGTTGTTGCTCTCGACCTCACAGGTTCAGCATGTTGTACCTTACTTACAGTTGGTATTTGCTGTGTTAGTGTTTATTGGCTGGGGGCCTTGGGCTAAGGTTCTTCTTTCATTGTACTTTATGGTAATGACTTGTGATACAATAGACTCATTGATCATGAAACCGATCTGGCTTATGTTCCCAGTGTGGTCACCACCTCTATACCCTGGGAGGTATATAAGAGAAGTGTTTTCTGCACCAGCAGAAGGAGAAAAAGGACTGCTACTTCTGAACCCAGGACGAGCAGACATGAAGCAAACTGCACTGAGTATCGTTAAAGCATTGCTTCTGTCGGAAAAAAAGTGAGAACGCGAAGCGAATCAAGGCTTCTTGTGAAAGAGCCGGGTTTGAGCGCTGAACTCAAACAGGTCCCCGTCTGTGCGCTCCTGTCTGCAGCCCCATCCCGCAGGTTTCGCTGTTGAGACGTGCAGTGATGTCGGGAAGCGAAGCGCAGCCGCTGACCCCCGTGGTCTTTTCCCGTGTGCGCTGCTGTTGCGTTCCGGTAGATGGGGCGTGAGCACAGCGCCAGCGCTGCCTGGGAGGGAGGTGAGGGAAGAGCCGTTTGTGTTCTTCGGAAAACCCGCTTCGAACGCATCCCCGCTTCAGAATTCGCCTTTGCTCTTTCCCAGGCCGGCTGCGGCAGTGAAGGCTGTTAAAGCTTTCTACAGAGAGTATTTTCCTTCATTAAACAGGATGTTTGCAGCTCGGCATTGCGTCCCTGGAGGGCTTATCAAATGGGCGATGGCTTTTTATTCTGGCTACTACCAGGTATGCTCATTCTGCCCAAGCAAACTCGTTACCTTGAACCTTAAAGAAATTTGTACTTGGAGCAAGGCATTTGTGGCCATTCTCTTCCCAGATCTTTGCCTGCAAGTCTAAAGTTTGACATTTCAGTGCGCTTCCTGAGTGAATGCCGTGCCACCAAATGAGGTTTTCATTCTGCTTGTTCCCTGCTTTCCCTGTAGGCATTTCAGCGCTGAGCTCCTCTCTTAAAGCAGAGGTTGAACGTAGTGCTGAAATGGTTTTTGTATGTGAGATATTGGAACGACACAATATTAATGCTTCATCAACTATAATATTTCCCCCTTTATTACTTGAAATAAAGTGGGTTTTCCAGCTTGTGAAGGACCTGGTGCATCACTGCAGACAAGTTTAAAGCTGAATTTTGCTGTCGGCCATGTGTTGGCACTGAGAAATCAGAACTTCAATTGGAAAGACCTGAAAGGGAACTACCAGGGATAGCTTAGCCCTAAAAATACCCACCCCTGCAAGAAGCCTGCTGCGCAATCATGCCGCCCCACGTGCTACCTAACTTCTGACCACTGACGTTTCATGGCTGTTATTTGGGAGGATGAACTGCCAGGAGCGAGACCGAATCCGGTAACCACCTCCTCCCGTTGCGGCGTCTCGCGTGACTGCTGAGCCTCCAGCGCCGCACCAGGTCACCTCTGACCCAGT